CCACTACCGTTGACGTCCAATCTTAAAAACAAAACAAGAAAAAACAAAGAAAGATCAGTCAATCAAGCTATTCCCACTGAACAAATTAGGAAAAAAACGAAATACAAAACCCCTAAATTAACAAAAACAAAACCCAACAACACTCAAATACAAACCATGACAAAAAATAAAAACCATCTTGATATTCTGATCAGCTGCCATGCATACCAAAAATGGAACCCACCTCTAAGAGAGAGAGAGAGAGAGAGAGAGGGGAATAGGGGATAGAGTGATGGTCGCTGCCATACCAGAGATGGAACTCACCTATGAGAGAGAGAGAGAGAGAGAGGGGGGGGGGAAGAGAGGGGATAGAGTGATGGTCGCTGCCATACCAGAAATGGAACTCACCTATCAGAGAGAGAGAGAGAGAGAGATGGAGTGTTTCGAGAAAGAGAGGGAGAGAGGATAGGGAGAAAAGAGGGGGGGAAAGAGAGGGGATATAGTGATGGTCTCGATGTTCCACTGGCTTCCATCGAAGCTATTCTCACTACCACTGGCGTCCTTCCAATGGCTTCTATCGAAGCTATTCCCACTACCACTGATGCCTAATCTTAGAAACAAAACAAGAAAAAACAAAGAAAAACCAGTCAGTCAAGCTATTCCCGCTGAACAGATTAGGATAAAAGTGGAAATACAAAACCCCTAAATTAACAAAAACAAAACCCAACAACACTCAAATACAAACCATGACAAAAAATAAAAACCATTCTGATCTTCTGATCAGCTGCCATGCATACCAAAAAGAGAGAGAGAGAGAGAGAGAGAGATGGTCGCTGGCATACCAGAAATGGAACTCACCTATCAGAGAGAGAGAGATGGAGTGTTTTGAGAAAGAGAGGGAGAGAGGATAGGGGGGGGGAAAGAGAAGGGATATAGTGATGGTTTTGATGAAATCTGAAACAAAGGACATGTGTTGCAACTGGGGACTAAAGGAAAATGAAAGAAAATGAAATCTGAAACAAAGGGAACGTGTCAGTCTTGATGAAATCTGAAACAAAGGACATGTGTTGCAACCAGGGACTAAAGGAAACGTCTGAAACAAAGGGAACGTGTTGAAAGGGGAAAGCACCCCTTTCGTATTAATATATGTATATAGGATAAGATAATTATTGTTATTAGTTAGTAAGTAATTAGTAATTATTGTTATTAATTAATAATTAATTAGTAATTAATTACTAGAAATGGGTGCTCGCACGTGGGATCTACTCGCACGAGTAGGTTCCATTTCCTGAGTGCAGAGAGCACCCACATCCTTTTAATATATATATATATATAAGATACTAATGCATTAATAAAATATTCATAAATTAATGATAAATGCTAAGATAATTATTAAATACTAATAAAATAATAATAATAAAGTACTAATAAAATAGTAATTATATATTCATAAATATTAATAAAATAATGAATGAACTAATATAAAACTGAAAATTTTCACTTGATTCCATTTCCAATTCCAAATGAACCAAACAACAACAATCGGAATCCGATTTTATTCCTAATTGAACCAAACAAGTGTCAGGAATAGGTGATTCCGATTCCGATTCTTGGGGATTTTGATTCTAATTCCAATTTCAATCATGTCCATGAACCAAACAGACCCAAGTTCTTTTTATTTACATTACCTAGAGCTAAGCCTCCCTCCTTTAAGATCTTTAGTCTCTATTTCCCATCTCAACAAGTGATCTTTTTTCTCCTCCCCTGTTTCCTATTAGGAAATCCCTCATTACCTTCTCAATCTTCCTAGCCTCTTGTGGAATCCTGAACAATGACAAATAGTATAATGGCAAGTTTGCTAGAGCTGATCTAATCAGAGTAATTCTCCCACCTAAAGATATGTGATTCTTCTTCCAAATTGCTTTCTTTTTGCATACCTTTCTAACATTGGAGTCCAAAAACTACTCTCTTTGGGATTGGCTCCTAAAGGAAGCCCCAAATAGGGCAAAGACCAACTAGATATGGAACACTCAAGCCTCTCTGCAATAGCCTCTAGTTCTCTAAACTCCAAATTCATCCTCGCAATGCAACTGTTTTCAAAATTAACTTTGAGATTCGAGATAGCTTCAAATTTCTTTACCAAACTCTTCAAATGCCCTATTGACCCTTGTTCACTCCCTTCACAAAAGATTATGATATCATCCGCACACTAGAGGTGTGCGACTACAATATTATTGCCACCAATCTTCCAACCCCTAATCTCCCCTTATCCACCTTGGAAATGAGTATGCTAAAAACATCCACCACCACTAAGAGGAAAGGGGATAAGGGATCCCCTTGCCTCAGGCCTCTGCTTGCCTGAAAAAAATCCTTCACCACCCCATTAACCAACACAAGCCTCTCTGCAATTAACTAACACAAAATTGGTGATCTCACTCTTGAGTTGGTAGGTTTTTGCCACATTCAATGCCTTGGAATACGTCTTAGCAGCACTATCTCAAATATCCTTTAATGTCTTGGTCCATAAACAATTTCTGCTAATCAGTGGCTACATCAAATCACCACCCATGGCCATGACCACATAGTTCTTTCGTCCCTACCTAGCATGAAGTGGATTTGTGGCAGTTCATTCTGCAGTATCTCATGTAGTGTATCCCAGCTTCCCAGTTCCAATGACCTTCATCTACTCCAAATAATTGCTTCTGTATACAGTGGTCACTAGTATTTTGGGGTTCTCCCTGGGAGAACTTGTAGATCCATAAGTGTCGTATTGGGTTTGGGTTGGTCTTTAACCCGACCTGCCTAATCTGTCAACTGGTTAATGACCCATTTAGACAAAATTAAATGGGTTGGTCCAACCCAAACCCACCTTGACCCAACCTGACCCACCTGACCCATTAATCCTAGACGTACATAAATCACATAACACAAATTTGAGTTTGATTTTTTACTCTATCTAGTCATCTTATAAATTGCAGAATCAAGAGCGTTCTGATATTTTTAAAAGAACAGACCTTCAATTCAAGCAAGCATGAATCTCTAACCAGAAAGTGAAGAGTTTTCTCTTATTTTGAGGGAAATGATAGCCACCATTAAAGGCTTCTTAATCTACAGAAACTATTGAAGACAAAATTGGCAATTCAACCAGTCTGATACAGCTAGACAAAAATGGAATAATCATGAAAACAAATTGTTCAAAAAGAAAATACAATAAAATTTTCATTAGAGAGAGAAGTACCTTCTTCATTTCGCAAGACTTGTATTTGAGATCTGAACTCTCTGAAGAATTCAGCAAAGAAAGAAGAGAACAAGAGAAAATAACAGCCACCACAACCAATCCATGATTTCTCCATGGATCTTTACAATTTGTTTGGACAAATTTTAGATCTTCATTGCTTTTCGTTCTGGAATGAAAATGATTAATCCACTGTATCCACATAAAGAGGACTTCTAGTATATCTGGCATACAACACCTCTACTTGTTCTAAACTGTAACAGAGATTCTATTGTCGAGAACTCGAGATCAAACAGTTGTAAATGAGATTTCAATCCGGACATAAAAACTTTTCAAGTCAAGACAAGATTGAAATGGAAGTGTGGTTTGCTATTGTTTCTGAAAGCTCTGCTCCTTCAAATCAGAGATGCATTGAGGGATCAAGTCACAGAACCTGTGGTTTCTTGAATTTTTTTAGTTGTTAAGATAAATATGGAATGATTCTGAAATCTGAATTGTTCTCACTTCTACGAGATAAGAAAGCTTAAACAATTGGAGATTTAGTTGAAATCATAGCAGAGATTAATAATCCTTCTTAATTCAAATGGTTTCTGGAGTTCATTCCACAAAAGACAATGAACCAAAGACCGGGGGGGGGGGCTTCGAAATAACGAGTTACCCATTGGATAACCATAACCCAACCCGCCCAAACTATTAATTGTCCCTTTATTTGCTTAACCAACACGTCAATGACCTGGGACTAAATAAATACAACCCAACCTGTGAATTGATGGGTAGGTTGGGCGGGTTAGTGGGTTGGGTTTAAAAATTGCCACCCCTAGGTTCAACCAACCCTGACACCAGTATAGGCAGGGAGAAATAGGGGTGCTCTCACCTGACACCTCAGAAACCTCTGAAAGGGTTGTCGATCTCAAGTAGAATATAAAATTGGTTGATTAACACCTCATTGCCAATTCCACATCCACTCTTTAGCATCCAATCAAAATAAGGTCCGAAATCTCAGATTTTCTTGTTTTTTGGGCAACACACTCTAGGAATCACTTCTAGGCATCAAACAGAATTGAATTCCTAAAATCCTCATAACAAGCAGGCTACATCATTAGAAGTGATCAGCCTCTTCAATTCTCTATGCACACTGCCGATCGTAATAATGTACATGCATCCCACATAGGGAAACGAGTAGGTAACTCTGCTCTCATACAAACTTGTGTTGTAATGTAGTAAAACAGAAAGAAAAGTAGCAGAGTTATGAAGGAGAATGAAGGAAGAAGAAAGGAGGATTGTGGGAGAAAACACCAAATTGTGGGGGCTGTTATGGCTCCAATTACTATTTATACTGGTTGCTGGAAATAAGATACCAAATTACAAATATGCCCCTGGAAAGGGTTTTATTTTTGGACAATTGCATTCATTTCCAATGAATGGATTTTAGAAGTTGATCCCTTTCAGATGCTGCTCTTGCACATTGTTGAATTAAATGCTTGTGAATTGTGTAGATCTAATGGTCTTTAACTTCTATGCATGTTTTTTTGGAGAAATCTTTTATTACAATTTGTTAAATTTTGTGTTCATCTGTTTTACTTCAATGAAAGGGTTTTTCATCTCTATTGGATTTATTGAATATGGTCAACTTGTTTTATTGGACAAAGCTATTTCACTGTATCTCCTTCTGATCATGGTTTTAAAGCTAATGTATGTCTACAATCTTGATTTGTACATTGTAAACAATTTTTTTAGCTCTTATAAGATTAATTGCTTTTGGATGATATAAATGGATGTAATGTAGGGCCGCAGTAGTCCTCATCCTTTTTGCCCTCCAAATCCTGAAGATATTGCAACCATCTGCTACACTAGTGGTACAACTGGGACACCAAAGGTATCATATTTTGGTTTCCTGTTGACTGAGTTCTTTAACTTGTAACCTAAAGTGTTTATCCAGTAATATTTTGGTTCCTTATATTAACTACAGATTATGGTTTTGTTCCTATGAGAAGGGAGCTGTATTAACTCATGGAAACTTGATTGCAAATATTGCTGGTTCCTGCCATACCATCAAATTCTACTCCTCAGATGTGTGAGTTTTTATTTTTTGTTTTTATTTTTTATTCTGTGCACATCCTTTTACTGAAGTTATTTGTTGCATTTGACAGTTACATATCTTATCTTCCTTTGGCACACATTTATGAACGGGCTAACCAAGTTATGGTAGCATACCATGGAGGTGCAGTTGGTTTTTACCAGGGGGTTTGTGTCTCAACTTAGTTTCACGCTAGCAGCAATTGTGTTAGTTTTTTGACATGATTTTTGCATATAATTGGTTATTTTTGTTACATGGTTTGATTTAAGAACAATAGAAAATGTTTTTAGTACAATAAAAAAAATGTTTTTAAGAACTTCTATGCTAATGCACATTTTCAGCATCCAGAGTGATGTTTAGACTATCTGATACTTGGGTATGCTGAAAATCTATCTTCTTTTATGGTTCTTGAGGAACATAATTGTTTTTTTCTTATCAGTAACAAGAATCGACTTTATTAAGTATAAATAAGTGTGAAATACAACACTACTTTCCAAATGACTTTTTAGAAGTAGAGAGAAGTTTGGGTTAGTCATTGCCTGACATGACAGGCATAAAAACTGAATATCTAAAATTGTAAGTTATCATTGAGCCTGGCATTCCCCATTCTAAGGAATTTTTGTTCACATCCATCCTCGCAAAACTGTCAACCAAGCTATTTTCCAACCTTGAAATCCACCTGAACAAGCAATTCAGATTGGATGCCGAGAGCTTTAACTTAATCAGAATATACCCTTGATTAACATGGAGGTCCAATGCACTTTGCACTCAAAATTTAAAATGAACTTTCACTATTGGTATTGGCATCATTGGGATTAGAAAATGTTAGGTTCATGTGAAGCATAAAAACATGTCTTGACCATAAAGAAAGGTTTCTAAGTATAGGAAGCAGAGAATGAGATTTTCTAAGTAATACTATGTCAGGAGGGAATGTCGCTTGGTCTAGGAATTGGAAATGAATTATTTCTAGTCGGTTTGTATCTGGAATGTTCCTAGTGTATCCATATATATAGAGGTCCGCAAACAACATGCATCATGGAATAGTCAATTCATCTATGATCAGTGCAAATAGATAAGGGCTAAATGCTAAACCTTGGTTGTTGCCCCTTTAGACATATCCTTAATTAGGTCTGTATACCTAATTTGGACCACTTTCTTTTCCAAAACCCACCATATTATTTCTCTAGGAACTCTATCATAAGCCTTTTTTGGATCAATGAACACCATATTAAGATCTTTCTTCTTCTTTCTCATCAATTGCCTCAAAAGAAATATGGCTTCCATGGTTGATCTTCTTGGCATAAAGCCAAATTGGTTTTCTGATACACTTGTTCCAAGTCACAATCTTTGTTCAATTATTCTCTCCCAAAGTTCTATAGTGTGGCTAATGAGTTTAATCCTTCGATGGTTATTACAACTTTGTATATCATCTTTATTCTTAAATATAGGCACCATACTATTCTTTCTCCAATCTTCATGCATCATCTTTTCTTTTACTATTTTATTAAAATGCTTTTCCATCTTTGTTTGATTTCCTCATCTTTTACCAACACTCTTTGATCATCTTTAATGCACCTAACATGGTTTAAATCTCTGCCTTTCCTTTTTCTCAGCTTTGCTAGTTTATATATTCCTTTTTCTCCCTCTTTAGTGTTTTATTTATGGTCAAGCTCATAATAAGCTCTACATTTAGCTTCATTCACTTTCTTTTAAACTTCATTTCTTATGATTTTATATTTTCCCCAATTTTCTGCATTTTTAGCCTTTTGCCATTTTTTGTAACATGTTCATTTTAATCTAATTATATTTTGACCTCTTCATCGCACCACCAAGTTTTTTAGTATTTTTATCCTTTGCTACTTTCTTGATGTTTTTTGCCATTTCAAGCCAAATATCGTTAATCTTTCCATCTAAATTTAAATTCCCTTTTATTATCAACTTGTTTCTAAATTGAGCTAGCGTTTTCTTCTTTTAGGTTTTTCCACCTACACCTATTTTCTTCCCTATTTCTCTTCCATTTCCTAATGCACATATCTACCACCACTAATCAATTTTGTGTTATTAAGTTTTTTCATGGAATAACTTTGTAATCTTTACACATCATTCGTTCTGTTCTCCTAATAAGGAAAAAATTATTTAACATATGTTTAATCCACTTGTAAATGTTATTAAGTGTTTATCCTTCTTTCGGAAAAAACTGTTTAAAATTTCTCTGTCATAAGCTATTGCAAAATCTAATATTCTATGTCCTGATTCATTCCTCTCCCTAAATCCAAATCCTCCATGTACTATACCATATCTTACACTTCTTTTCCCTATGTCATTTAAGTCTCCTATAAAATTCTTCTCTTTGTTTGGAATTTCTTGGACTAATCCTTTAGAGTTTTCCCAAAATTTTCTTTCAATGTTTTCTTCTAAAGCTACTTGAGGTGCATAGACACTAATTATGTTAATGACTTCCTCCTCTGAAACAAGTCCAATTAAAATTCTTCTATCCCCAATTCTTTTAACATTTACAATTTCATTTTTTTAAATTCTTGTCTATTATTATCGCTACATAATTTCCATTGTTCATCTCTCCCATATAGCATAATTTGTAGCCATCAATTTCTTTAGATTTTTACCCTTCCATTTAGTTTCTTGTAGGCATGCAATATTAACCCTTTTCCTCCTCATAGTGTCTACTAATATCATAGTTTTTCCTGTTAATGTTCCTACATTCTAAGTGGCTAAACGAAGTCGTGTTTTCTGGACTAGTTTATTTACCCGCCCCCATCCAGAATGATGTGGTAACCCTTGCCTATGTGACACCACATCCGGGCGTTGCCATGGGGGGTCACTTACGGGGACCATCCTAGCAAACACTTGCGCACTTGACACTACACTCGAGTTAGGGTGCAGCACACCATTTATGCAAAATGCCCTAGCATGAGCACAAAAAGACAAATCAGGATCCATAATCATGAGGGTTTGGCAGAAGTTTTAGTGTTAGTTGCCAACTTGACACAGCCCTCCTTTATCCGGGCTTAGGACCAGCAGTGTAAGATAAACTCACACTGGTAGTGTTAAGAAAAGGAAATATATATACCAGGACCAAAACCTGTTGCATTACTGCTTGGCCATGCCCCAATTCGATTTATATTCAGCACTAATAAAAGACTAATATTGGTCTTGGTTGTTCATCAATTATAGTCTAAATATCTATGGAATCAATTAAATTGTTGTTAGGATTTTCCACGTGTAGATGTAGAATTAAACTGAATTTATTGATCATTATATATAATTCAATTAAGATATTDTATGAAAGTATGATTCCTTCTATTCTATACAATTAAGATATATAGCAATTTAGCATTATGGGCATTGACTCTTATAATTGTTAAACCAGTCTAACGATTCTAGATTCTTCTTTTGATAAATAGATCCTTTAACTTTTTTTTTTAAATTCTTCAACATATAGTTTTTTATTGTTATTCTTGAACATATATTTTCATTCTTTAATATAAGTTACCATTGATTCTGGATTAATCTAATAATTTGTCTGTACAGCTACTATGAGGTGATCATCATCATCATCATCATCATCTAATCCTTATCCCAACTATATTGGGTTGGCTACATGAATCCCATTTCACCATTCTGTTCTGTTTAATGCTATATCCATTACTAAATTATGAGCACGTAAATCATTTCTTATTATTTTGACCGATGTCCTTTTGGTCTGCCTCTAGGTACTATGATGTGATCCAAGTCCAAAATTTTTGTAGACATTGACAAAGAAAAGCTTACTAATTCTTCATTAAATACTCGTATGCTGAATGTTGCCTTTTGTTTGCAGGACAATTTAAAATTGATGGACGATATGGCTGCTTTAAGACCAACTATATTCTGCAGTGTCCCTCGACTATATAATAGAATCTATGCTGGGTAAACTAATGTTCAATAGTTAAATTGAATTTTCTCTATGCCTACAATTTGTAAGGGCATTCATTTTTGACTTAGTCTGCAATTGCTATCTTAAAACTGCAGTATTATAAATGCTGTAAAGACATCTGGTGTTCTAAGGGAGAGGCTGTTCAATGCTGCATATGATGCCAAGAAACAAGCAATAATGAGTGGTAAACGAATTGACAACTAGATGCATTTTACAAGAAAGCAAGGAACTTTTGACTGTCTTTTTTTTTGTCCCTGGGTGTCAATACTATGAACAATGTATAACCTATAGCACCTACATTCTTTAAACAAGAAATATGTACATTTGGATTTTGGAATATTATAAGTGAGTCAAGCAAGAAACACATCTATTAGGAAGACTGGGGCTTCATTTGGTTGCCAAGAAAATGCAAGAAAGTTGAATCCAGAAAAGACTTTCTAGGTAACACTATCTGAGATTATTTGGTTGCTAAGAGGATCCTGTGGGCCCCAATTGTCAGATTTACTAATTAAGGGACTTGGGCATGGAGATACAACACTCTAACTAGGGTGTGACCTCTCTTGCTAAATGTCCCATGTTTTTAGCATTTTGGCTCACCAATAGATGGGCTTTATATAATGGATCATCTAGGCCAAAAATAAGTAGTCTCTAAATTCTATGGTTACATGGTTCTATGCATTCACCAATTTAGATATGACTCATTTATGCTTGTTAATGACATTGTACTGTTTTGTAAGGACAATGGGGGTGGGTGGAGCTAGGAACCTATAATTCTTGCTCAAGTGCTTTGAGTTGATTTCAAATAAAAAAATTAATTTTGACAAGAGTTGTGTGACCAGCATTAACATGGAGGAGGATGAAGAAGAGGACGTTAGGAGGTTCTTTCCTTGAAATACTTAGGTCTTCCCTTGGGAAGTAATCCTAGAGCCAACATTTTTTGTAATCCGGTGGTGGAAGAGGGTAACAAAAAAAATTGTCTGTTTTAAAAAGGAACTTCATTTCTTTAGGAGGCAGAATTACTCTAGCTGAATCAACCTTGACCTACCAATGCATATACTTTTTGTCAGTTTTTAGAATTCCGAGGTCAATAGCAAACGGATGAAAAGTTAATAAGGGATTTTTTTTGGGGAGAATGGTACCAGAAAACTTGACTCTGCTTGTACAGCGGTTATGGAGATATCCATTTGAGGGGAATAGTTTGTGGCACAAGGACATTGGCAACATTCATGGTGGGATGGTTGAAGGATGGGATGCTAGATTGGTTCACAAAGCCACACTTGCTTTTCCTTGGAAAACCATTTCCTTTGTTCTGCCTTCATTTCATGAGTTTGTTGTTGATGATGCATTAGATGGCAGTAGAGATTTTGGGAGGATTAATAGTGGGGTGATAGGCCTCTTAGAGATCAGTTCCCCTGGGTTTACTCCCTCTTCAAATCCATTTCCTGTTTTGTCTCATTTTCCAATGGTGGTTTCTCTTGTGATCTTGTGTTGAGGAGAGGGGTGAGGGACTTTGTACTTGAACAGGTAGCTGTGCTTTTATAGTCTTTAGAACGAGTTTTCTTGGGTCCTTCCAAATTTGGCTCCAGAATTTGGACTCTGGCTCCTTTGTGGAAGCTCTTGTTTTACCTTCTTCCTCTATTATCACGTTTACATTTAGATATATTTGGCTTGGGTGAGGAATTTTGTTCAGAGGTCTTCCCGAAATTCTATACTTGTGAGAATCTGTGAAAAGGACACCTAATTGGTGCGCATGTGTTTTATGTGTGATGCAAATGAGGAAACTACTTTCTATCTGCTAATCTCCTATAGTTTCACTTCTTGTATTTAGGGTTGGTTTCTAGCTCCTTTGGTTATAGGTAGGTTCATCCAATTATGTGAGCCACATCTTTTTTTTTGCCCTTTCCTGATTTCCCTAAATGAAGGGGAAAGGTACTTACGAGATGCACTGGAGTGGCCATTCTATGGATGGTTTTATTCTAAAGTTCTATCTAGAAGGCCAAGACTGGTCTTGCATGGGGTGGTGGGTCCAACCCAAATGGATTTTGTGGAAGGCAAGCAAATCCTTGATGGGGTGATGATTTTTTTTTTGATCAGCAAAAAGATTGTTTCATTAATTAAACTATGTGGAGTTAATTACAGACTGATGACCCAATAGTCATCCCCAATGATTACTACAACCAATGTTTTAAAACACAAAGGCATGACGCGAGGCGTTCCACTACCCAGAGGCATGAGGCGTAAGCCTCCCGAACATAAGGAGGCGTAAGCCTTCTTAAGAGGAGGGGGGTTAGGAAGAGGATGAAGAGGAAGGGAGGATCTCATTTTTTTCTTTATTTTTTAATAAAAATCTTTTATATTAAGAAGGATAAAGATGTATAACAGTAGTTCCAAGGGGGGGTCTTGTCGAAGTGAAGCTCGCTCGCGGAAGCGGAGCCCCCCAACCAAAGGGGTAGGGGGCAAACCATTTTCTTTCCTCTTATCTTTTCTTCCCTTCCCTTCCCTTTCTTCGTCTCTTTCCTTTCCTTTTCTTTCCCTTTCTTTTCTTCTCCTTTCCTTTCCTTTTTTTTTCTTTTCTCTTTTTTTTCCTGTATTTTCATATCAGGTGTGCATGAGGTGCAAGAGGCGTACACCTCTAGCACGCCTCATGAAAAAAGCGCTTGCACCTGAGGCGTACGCCGTAGAGGTATCAGTGTCTCTGGCATACGCCTCAGGGCGTTTTGGGAGCGCCTCGCCTGGAGGCAGGCGTACGCCTCCCACGCCTTTTAAAACACTGGTTACAACGAGGCCCAATATAGTTGTTGCCTTGTAGCCCCTTGTTTGGCTAAGGTATCTGCTAACCTATTTGCACTCCTCCTGATCCACCTAAAATCAGCATTTATATCCTTTACTAACCTCTCCACTTCTCTGAAGATATGCTTGAGGGTCCATGGGACATGTCTATTACATTTTGCCCAAGAGATTACAACTTTTGAGTCCCCCTCCACTTCCACCTGATGAATACCCAATTGCTTTGCCAATCGGAGGCCCTGTAGTAATGCTAATAACTCAGCCTTAGTTGAGTTTGTAATACCAATTGGCACCCTGAATATAGAGCCAATATCTTGCATTCTTCATTTCTGGTTGCTCCTATTCTTTCCACTCCCGGGTTGCCCATAGAGCTTCCATCAAAATTCAATTTCACTTTGTTTATCTCTGGTGGTTTCCACTCAACTCTTAGAGTTTCCTTACCCCTAGAGGACTGTGCTCTTTCCATGCCCTTTGGATGTCAATTACAAAGAAAACTTGAAAACTGTCCAAGGTTTTTATCCACAATGCAACCCTCAGTTTTATGCTGTCAATGACCTCTTCCAAGGTTCTAGATTTTCCAGCAAAAGTTCTGTTATTTCTTTCCTCCCGTACTCCCCAAGAAATAGCCACTTTGGTTACTTTCCACATAATTCTCCCTCTCTTCTTAGGTTGCCTCAAGAAATTAGGATCGAAAATGTCTGTCACCTCTGGGGGAGGGCCCCATCTGCAACCAAAGAGAGAACAGAAAAATTCCTAAACACGACGTATAAATGGGCAGGAGATCAATAAGTGGGAGAGGGACTCTCCACTATTCATTCCTACAAAGAAAACACATATGAGGAGAGAGGCAAGTCGAAGGCCTCCTTTTCTGCAACAAGTCGCAAGTATTTACCTTACCAAGTAAAAGGGTCCAACAGAAAGGTTGGATTTTTGGTGGGGTAGGTTTGCTCCAAATTTCTTTCATTGGGAGAGTCACCCCTTGGGGCCTAGTAGAAGCAAGATGACTGAAAAAAGAGGAGCAAGAGAAGAGTCCATCTGGGGAGATTACCCAGAATCTAGAATCCTCCAAATTGGGGTCTTAGCTGATTGCAAGGTTCCAAGGAGATCAGTCAAGAAGATACACTCTCTATCCCTAAGGCCACTTCTGAAACCAAGGTTCTAGATGATACCTGAATGGGAAGCCACACCCAAATTAGAAATGGTTTCATTCTTGAAGTCGGAAATGGTATAAAGGTCAGGGAATTGTTCTTTAAGTGGTGATTCCTCAACCCTAAGGTCTTCCCAGAAACAGATTCTATTCCCCTTTCCCACATCAAAACAGATGGAACTAGAGAATGTAGGGTAGACTTCGTGAATAGCTTTCCAAGGAGAGGCTGAAGTGGAGTGATGAGCCAATTTAGCATCCCAACCATTGCAATCTAGACCATGAATTATTGCAATTACTTTGTGCCACAAACTATCTCTTTCAAAGGGAAATCTCCACAACCATTTACCCAACAATGCGGTGTTCCTTAGGGCAATGTTTCCCTAGACCCCCTTGCTCTTTTGGCTTACTAACCTGTTCCCACTTGACTAAGTGATCCTTTTTTTCCTCCCCCGGTTCCCAAAGCAAATCCCTCATGAACTTTTCTAGATGTTTCACAATCCTTGCCAGGATACGAAAGGTAGAAAGAAAGTAGATGGGTAGATTTGCTAAAGTGGCCCTAATCAATATAATCCTTCTCCCTAAAGATAAATAAGTTCTCTTCCAAGTAGCCAGCTTCATTGCAAACCTTTCAACCACTGACTTCCAGAATCCTTCTGTCCTTGGGTTCCCCCCCAAAGGTAGGCCAAGGTAGGTAATGGGCCAACTTCTAATCTCACACCCCAACACCTCTACAAAGCTCAAGAGCTTTGCAAACTTGATATTAAGAAGGCTTATGATCATGTGGATTGGGGCTTTTTAGAAGATATATTGGCAAGATTGGGTTTTGGGGGGAGGTGGAGTTGGATGTTTGCATGCTTTTCTTCAGTTTCTTTTTCAGTTCTTGTTAATGGAATATCTGCCCCTTTCTTCCAAGCTAACAGGGGTTTGAGGAAGGGAGATCCGTTGTCCCCACTGTTGTTTGTCTTAGTTGCGGAAATTCTAAGCTTCTTATTTAATAAAAGGAGTAGGAACTGGGATGTTGGAAGGGTTCACAGCAACAAGACATGGAGTCCCCAATCCTCATTACTCGCCTTTAGTTTGCGGATGATACATTACTCGCCTCAAGTTTTATGAATTGTTGGCGGGTCAAATGATCAATCTGAAGAAGAGTGTGATGATTGGGGTGGGTAATATATCGGATGATTTATTGGAGAGCTGTGCTTCAGCTTTGGGTTGTTTGGTGGGGGAGTTCCCCTTTACTTGGGTCTTCCTATAGGGGTAAAAGCTTCTGCACCATCTACTTGGCAACCGGTTCTTGACAGGATTGATCAAAAGCTAGCAGGATGGAAGTGGAGGTACCTTTCTCTTGGTGGAAGGATTGCTCTTATTAAGAGTGTCCTTTCCAACCTCCCGGTCTACTACCTTTCGCTTTTAAAAGCTCCATCTAGTGTGATAAATTCAATTAAAAATCTGTAGGAGTTCTTATGGGGAGTTAAAGGTTTGGAGAAGAAATTTCACTTAGTCAAATGGGACAAAGTGTGCAAGGAAAAAAGGGAGGGGGGTTTGGGAATAAGGAAATTGAAGGTTTTCAATAAAGCTCTATTAGGCAAGTGGTTATGGAGATTTGGTTTGAAGAGGGAGGCTCTTTGGAGAAGGGTGCTGGCCTGCAAATATGGGGTTATTGGCTTCAGATGGGACCTTAAGGAAGTGAAGACGTCTTATGGGGTAATTGTGTGGAAAGGGATTATGAGTTTCTATGCAGCTTTTTTCAATCTTGTTTCCTTCAGAGTTGGTGATGGATCGACAATTAAGTTCTGGGAAGATGATTGGTTGGGTATTGGGAAGCTCTGTGATCTTTACCCTCGGCTATACAGTTTGGGTATGAAGAATAGCTCCGTTGCAGAGAAATTTGGGATCAATCGAGGCAGAGTAGTTTGATGTCCAAAATTTAGAAGAGCTCTATTTGATTGGGAAGTTCATGAGTGCGTAGGTCTTCTAAAAATTACAATCAATGGAACCTCAAGTGGAAAGGGAAGATTCAAGATGGTGGGAAGAATCAAGAAATGATTTATTTTCAGTTAAATCCTTTTATCAGTCCCTCTCAAGATCAAGTGGAGATGTCTTAGACATAGTTTTCAAGGCACCGAGGTGAGGCTAGGCGACAGGGGGGCACCTTGTTGCCTAGTTGCCTAGGCGATGGATTTTTTCAAGTAAAAAATACATATCCTAGGGTAGTTTCCTAGGTTCCATAGCCATATTTCCTTAATAACTATCCATAATTTTCATAAGAAAATTATGAACTTCATGTTTTAAGTCTAGAAAATCAACATATTTATGAGAAGAAAAAAAGAAAGAAAAGAAAATTAAAAAAAATATGGGGACTGAACCCTTATTTTTGTTATAGGAAGAAGAAGAAGTGGAGGAAGAAATGTGTCGACTAGACAAAATTTTATGTTTTTCCCTTATTGGTTTAGATTCTGAAGTCTTTGAGGGTTCAATACAGAAGTTAGTGACGCTTGTGTTGATTAAACCCTGACAAATAAGAAAATAATAAAAAGAAATTAGTTTATAAACACGCAAAATGATTATTTTTGTTTAATAATGTCTATTTTATAATTATAATCTCAAAAAAGTAACAATATAAAAGTATTTTATAAGATAGTATACAAAACTGCTTGGCGACTGGGCGAGGCGAGCCTCCAAAGGCGCCTTGTCGCCTAGGCGGGTGCCTAGGTGTCGCCTTGAAAACTATTGTCTCAGGGGTGAATGGAATTTGGGGAAACCCTATTCCACCAAGGGTGGAAGCGTTTGCTTGGTTAGTGGCTTTGGATAGTTTAGTAATTTTACCCAATTTGTATTCCATATTTTTCATATATGTTGCCAAAATTCTAAATACTTGCATTTGATTATTTCAGGTAGAAATACATCACCCATATGGGACGGATTAGTATTCAATAAAATAAAGGCAAAACTTGGAGGGCGAGTCCGGTTTATGGGTTCAGGTGCCTCACCTTTATCTCCGGATGTCATGGACTTCTTGAGGGTGTAAGTTGTTATTTCACAAGTCATATGTGGTAAAGCTGTTTTTCATCTTTTTTTTTTTGACTCTTTATTTCATTAAAATAACTTCATAAGTTCATATTTTACAGATGCTTTGGTTGTCTAGTAATGGAAGGATATGGAATGACTGAAACTTCATGTGTTATAAGCTCAATGGATGTGGGTGACAACTTGTCAGGTCATGTTGGTTCTCCTAATCCTGCCTGTGGTATGTTATTGGCTTTTGGATTTTAATAGAAATTAGTGATATGCATGATGCAAAGGACTTTACTAGACTACTGTTTTTTTTCCCTGTAGTTGGAAGATTGTTTGCTGCTTTGGTAACCTACCTGAACGAGCAGTTCAGATTGTTGGCTAATGCTCTAAGCTTCCCTTGATAACATCCAGTTCACGATCACTTTTCAATCCCCTTGTATGAAGTTTTCCCAGTCTGAATTTAAGGCTAATTTTAACCTTCATTGGGTCTAAGTTTCTTCTTTGAGTGAAATTCCATCTCCAGGGAGTTCTTAGAAGCTAAGCAGAACTTTTCCGCCATGGTTGTTAACAACTTTAATACTTGACACTTATTGGTTTCCAAAATAGCACTCATCTAAGTTTGACTTTCGTTTACCTGCCTTTGGCACCATCCATGCAGCAGTCCTTTGCTGTCTTCTTAGGGACTAGGGAGTAACCCTCAATAGTTTACCACCCTTGCTTGCTTTCATCCATAGTAACCCTTTTAAATTCTCCATTTGTCAATACTAATTGGAAATTCTTACATTGATGGGGTCTATTAAGAGATGCATATTATGATGTTCCTTGCTTTCAAAAGTTACATGTATTCCTTTCAATCAAGGTTTAAAATGTCGATGTCGATGGAAATGTCACTTACCAAAATATAGGACATATGTCGGAAATGCCGAGGGGAAATATTGTAAAAATTAGAGACATTGTGGAAATATTATGAAATATGTGGAAATATTCAATGCTATTTTGTAAAATGATAAAAGAAGCATTAATGCATATTTCTAGACTATTATCTTATTCCCAACCATTATATAAAGCTAAGAAACTAAGAGCAATAACAAATTAGTAAATGACGATTTACTGATTTATTATGCACTTTGATGTTTTTACAAGGTTATCCAATATTTTCTTTTCTTATTTTTA